TTCCAAACCTGCAAGAAGGAGAGGTGCCCATACCTTGAAGACAAATGAGGGTGAGGAAGGCACGACAACAGAAATACCGAGCGGTCACCCAGCTCTGCGGGAAGCCTCTTCTGGCTGGGGAAACATTCCGACATACCAAGGTAGAAGCCAGAGGTGCCCCTACAGCTCCCTCGGTAACTTCTGGCTACTCCTCACACAGGTAAGGCTCTTCTGGGTCCAGAGCTCTTGGCTGTAGATAAAGGTCTGTGATTCAGAGCCATCTCTGAATTAGAGGAATGAGCCTGCAAAAAATTGCCTGAAGTGGCACAGAACCACTTAGTACAGGAGGTGTAGTGCTTTCAGTTAGCCCTCACTGTGGGGCAGAAATCCTTTCTGGTTGTATCTCAGGTTTGTTTCCATCAGCCCCTCTAGAGCAGGTGTTGGTGATTTTCATGTCCCAGTTATCACATCTCTTTGAGCAACAGATTAGTCGGCACACTGATCTCTGAATAGGTACTCCAGGCTAGTGAGAGTTTGAGCTCCAACAGGATGCATTTTACACTCAAGAGCCTGCTAAATGATTAATTTATTTAGTCTCTTAAAGTTCCCAGCTTCCTGGAAAAGCCAGAATGTGTTTTTCTGCAGGCCTCAGTCCTGCTCACCTTGGAATTGCAAGTTTTGGCAAGGACTTTAACATCCAGTAAGGTGGAGATCAGGTAAAACCATAGCATAAAAAGCTGAAAGCTTTAGTTCTTACAGATACACTGCTGTGTCCTCCCGGGGACCACTGCATCTATCTGTCCTCGCTAAATCTATGTACAATCGCAGAAAAGGCACTTGTGGTCCATGCAAATGGACCTTCAACTGGAGGATACAAGGGTAAATATGGATTAAGGCAAGTCAGCCAAAAGAGAACTGCCCAGAGGCTGCTGGCATGTGGGCATGTGGGATTGTGCCCTGCTGGGGACAGGGCATAGCTCAGCCTGGCTTGCTGCTGCTGGCTGTAGGCTCCCCGTAGGGAGCAGCCCTGCTGCTGACAGCAGCCCTCGATCAGCATCTCTGACAAGAGGAATTGGAACCCTCCCTCATCTTCGGATCAGTAAGATTCTACAAGAAGGGTGAGGTTACTAAAACAAAGACTACCTTAGCTATGTAAGCTTTTCCTGGATTTCTCTTTCAAGTTTTTGGCAATCTTGGACTTTGAAGGGTAGGCCTGCACAGTTAAATTTTGAGGAATACCTGCCCAAAATGTAGGTCCTACAAATCTTTATGCATGGACTTGGCTGCTATTACTAAGTGTGTGCACAAAGGATGCATGGGCCTGGTAGCTGGAATGTTTTTCTTCAGAAGTTGGAGCCCCAGCACCTTGAGCTGAAACTATCAGCATAATGAAGTGCTCAGGATTTCTGAGACAGTCAAACTACTCGAATTAGCGAAAACGCAGTCCGCAGGCATCCCAGCCGGTTTGCAGAGACTGCACTGTGCACCCCTGGCAGCCAGAACTGATGGATGCAACTCGGAACCTGCATCTTTGCTGAACTGAGCTGCCAAGACCAGGAGGAGAGCGCTTGGTCCCACGCACAAATAGGCCTTCACCTGATGACCAGAGTGACAGAACATGTGTGGGCAGCAGATTCGGAGCCTAAGGTATGTTTTAAGTAGTACTGGGGGAGTGAAATATGGTTTGTTTGTTGGTTGTTTTTTTTTTAAATAGAAATATATATTTATATATAGTCATTTTCATCTTCACTTCTGAGAACAGATATCTGAGGCTGCCTTCTGTTCAGGCCAGTATGGTGCCTGAGTGGAAAATTTCACTCCCCAGTTTCAGTAAGATGAAACTTAGGCTGGTTCTTAGGAATAGTTGGAAAGTCAGTGCAGCAGAGCTCTGTAATCAAGTGGTCTCCGTGGACAGCCTGTCATCCTGATGAGAGACACTTCTTAATTATGCAAAGATGCCGCATTGTAGCTGAAACAATTCCCAGCTTCCCTCATCATATCAATGAGTCTGGAGTTACAGAGCTCCCAACAACAACGTTTTAGAGGATTTCAAACAAATTGTTAAGTCTAAAAGTTCAACACTCGAGCACATGCAGCATGCAGAGAACACATTACCCAATGTGTTTGAAGAGCATTAATACAGTTTCGTGCTACTGCAAAGATCTCTGAAAGGAAGAGTGTGGGTAGCATCCCAAGTACTGCTGGGGAGACCTGAGATCCACACACTTCTGGGAAAAGCAGGCAAATCAATCAAGAAGCAGCCCTTGCAGCTAAGATTAACTGAGATCCTGTCTGAGCATCTCGATTACACTGATTCAATGATTAAACTTGTTCCGATTAATGGCAAAACCAGACAGAATCCATGGTCAAAACATTGGACAAACTGTTTAAGCTACTGAGGGGTACACTGGTGTTCATGAAGCAGCTGGTAGTGAGAACCTGGAGGAGAACAGGAAAACAACTGCCTTTTGTGCTGGCGCAAAACGAAGAGGAACATGCTGGTGTGCTTCAACACATCAAGTGGCAACACAGGCAATGGAGGAATGCTGCATGAATATCGATCATCTTACTTAGCTGATTGGTACCCTTAGGTTACATCTACAGAAGTGTGTAATACAGCCCCTGGGAGTGAACCTGGGTGCTCAGTCCCTGATCATCTACTCTGCATAACATATTATTGTACTTCTCTGCTATATTCTGGAGTAAAATTATTTGCAGTAGTCCACATCCAGTGACTAATTGCTCCTGAAGGACCACCAGTTGAACAAGGCTGTCCCTCTAGGCCACCCTGCAGGACACCAGGGCACAGGCCCACCAAAACCAACATGTAGCCTGGGCCATGTCTAGCTAGATGGCAACCTGGCATTTTTGGAAGGAGTTCACCTGGGCTAATACCACTTGGCTTCTGTGCCCCTGGCACCTTTTACTGTGCAAATGTAACCATCCTGTTCATTGGATTGCTTTGCTCTTTCCACAAATGAGCACGATAGGCTGATATTCCAACTCTGAGGCAAGAGACATATTTTCAGCCAGTTTATGGTGGAGAACTACCATTCAGAATAAATACATATTTTGGTAACAGTACGTGTGGCAAGGGCACCACAGAAATTAATTGTAGTTTCCATCGTACTGTGCCAATGGGGGTATGTGTCTCCCTGATGGGGCTGGGGGAACGTGGAAACAATGAAGGCAATGTGTCAGGCTTTTCCAGGTCTAGTCCTCCCTAGAAACATTTAAAAAAAAAAAGAAGAAAAGTAACTAACATCTTAAATGATGTGTTTCTTAGGAACTAACAGCAATACTGGCCACGTAATTTATTTCCTTTTTGGCCTGTCTGTTCTCCTCTGACACCAAGCCTCCTGGTGGTATGTACCCTACTGCTCGTGAGGCCATGGTCTAGACTGGACTAATGCAGTTTAAAATGAACTCTCCAAAGTCTGTCATTTAAAAAACGTGGATCATCTTGTGGCTCTGACTTAGGGCACAGCCATGTGAACAGTTAATCAGCACAGCTGTATTAATTCAGGCTCTAGAGGGGAAGGTGGGAGCAGAGTGAGACCAAATGACTTAAACCAGATCTGCGGCCAGTGGAGCATGAAGCTGTGCCCTCTGCAATAGCAACTCGTGGCTAAGGGAGGTATAGATGTACCAGCATGACTCAGCCAGTAATTCCAGTCACATTGCTACTGTTCACAGCTTGCTTCCTTCCTCGGGATCCTGTGCTCTTCAAGCTGAGTGTTCTCTTTGCCCTTGGTGATATCCCCCATTTGGGAGCTCATCTCCATGTGAAAGCTCATTGTTAGCATTAGGCCTATATGCGGTGCTGAAAATAAAAATTCTACAGCACAACAGATTTGATCACTTCATTTTCTTGCCTAAAGCACACTGTGATTTCTTCCCGTTTGGCTCTGTGGGTGGGAGAGGCATTTCAGTGTACGCTGCCACGTTCATTACAGGGAGTTCTTCAGCGCTAGAGATATTAACATCTTTGTTATTACTGCCAGTTCTCTCCTCCCCCGTACCAAGTGGTCGCCTGAGCACGAATTCCTTTTAGGGACAGACTCCCAGTAGTAGTATTCTCCTCCTCAAAGTGAAGAATATCTCTTCAGAGGTCAGTTCCTTCTGCTTTCTCAGAATCCTGCCTCCCCCATATTCCTTAGAAAGTCATTATTAAAGATGTCAAAACCACTTGCAAAAATATCACAGAAATTCTAGAAATCAGTGCCATAATTACCTCTTTGTAATCATTAACAACTCAAAATCATAGCGTTTAAGTTAAAAAGTTTTATGCAAGACAAAATGTTTAACATTTAATATAAAATCAAAGTTTGACATAGCTTATTTTTCAAACATCAACCTTTCTGTTCATCAACTGACAATTAGAAGATCACAATTAAAAAAGTCATCCTAAATACTTCTAAAAGTCTTATAAAAACATTCATAAAGTGCCACCCACAAAAGCACCTAAACAAGAATCTGAAAGAAATACCTATTAGGATGTTAATTTACTTAACTGCTGCTGCAGACCAAGCTGTCAAACAGCAGCTAATTTGTGGAACTGCCAATTTAACAACCATAAAACCCAGGAAAAATAGGGTTCCACAGACGTGGGCCCAACAGAGCGTCAGCTGGGCCCACATGTACGCAGAGGCACCCAGCAGAATGTTGTGGGGTTCTGAAATAAATAGATCCTAACACTGCCCAAAAACACCAGCAAGTGGGAGAGGTGGATTTAAGGGGAGCAATCATCTCAGGCTGTGCCCTTACTGCGAGGGCAAAACCCAGGCAGGTTGTACAGAAAACGGGTACAGACTTCAGCTGGTTTTTACTGGGATAAAAATCACTCCCACTAGAAATAACAGAAAAAGGCACTGATCCTTGGAACGTTTCTATGTTCCCCTCTCTGGCCTTGAACGTACCATACCGTAAGCACCTTTCTTTTCCCCAGCCCCAAAATCGGGGCTCAGCACAACCCCATGCACTAGTTCGTTCGGCAGTGGCCTCCCTCTTTGCTTGAGTGTCTGGGCAGTGCTCACAAACAGATTTACCCGGAAGAAAAGGGGACAGGCTCTGAGGGCTCCCTCCCCCAAAATTCCTGCCCCATATGAGGTGTCCAGCTGTGTGTCTTCCCAACACCAGGTAGCTGCCTATGGTCCACATGGCCGCCTCCTCTCCACCATCTATCTACTCTGTATGGTGCTTCTGGTGGCGCACCAGCTGGGGCTGGAACCGAAAGCTTTCCCCACACTGGGAGCAGCGGTAGGGCTGCTCGCCAGTGTGGATGCGGGTGTGCTTGATCAGGTTGGAGTTGCCACTGAAGCCCCGGCCGCACTGGCTGCATTTGTAAGGCTTCTCGCCAGTGTGGGTACGAGCGTGGTTAATGAGGTCAGAGCTCTGCCCAAAACGTTTGCCACACTGCCCGCAGGCGTAAGGCCGGATGCCATCATGGACTCGCTGGTGCTGAAGGAGGTGGGAATGTTGGCTGAAGCTTTTCCCGCAGGCTGGGCACTTGTAGGGCCGCTCGCCCGTGTGCATACGCTGGTGTTTGATGCAGGTGGAGCTGTCGCTGAAGATCTTCCCGCACTCGCTGCACACGTAGGGTTTGAGCCCGGTGTGGATGCGCTGGTGCTTGAGGAGGTTGGAGCTCTGGCTGAAGCTCTTCCCACACTCAGCACAGGTGTAGGGTTTCTGGCCCGTGTGAACCCGCCGGTGCTGAATGAGGTGTGAGCTCTGGCTGAAGCCCTTGCCACACTCCCCGCACAGGAACGGACGCTCCCCCGTGTGCATTCGCTGGTGCTGGATGAGGTGGATGCTCCGACTGAAGCCCTTGCCGCACTCGGAGCAGATGGTGGGTCGCTCTGCACGAGAGGCTCGCCGTGAGGCTGCTGCCACCCTTCTCTCCTGTCTTTTCATCAGGCTGATACCAGAGCAAGGCAGCTCAGCCTCCTCTTCCTCCTCACAGTCACCTCGCTGCACCTCTGGGGAACTGCACTGCCTTCCATGGCTGTCCCTCAACTGTTCCTCTCCTCCTCTGGACCCCACTGCCAACATGTCCTGCTGAGCTGCGCTTGCAAGGTGATCTGGTAGAAGATGTAGCTCATCACCTGGAAAAAAAGTACAACTCAAACTGTGGTTCTCGCTGGGAAGCAGCAGAACAGAGAACCGGCAAGCTGTTCTGGGGAGCCTGCTCTGCACCATGCAGGGGAAGTGGTGAAGAGAAGACTGGGAGCAAATGGAAACCCAGCGGCGAGAGGGGCGGTATGGGGTCATTGTGTGACCCGGAGCAGACGTGCCACAAACAGCAGAGCCAAGGGCAACGCTACGGGTGTCTCCTTACCCCCAGGAACCCTTCACATTTTGTCTTCTTAATATCCTGTCTCCTCATACACACTCTTAGCAGGCTGACAAAGTCAAGCTGTGTGCCTGCCCTGAGGGGGGAAGAGCAGGTCTCAGTATGAGTTGCATGGAATAAAGTGCCTTAAATAACACTGAGGCAGCTCAAAGAGCATTTTGTTTGCCCTGTGTTTATAAACTTGTCTAACTTATTTCTCACCTATGTGTGTCTCCTCCGAGGCCTCAAGATCTTGTTCTCCTTGGTCCATCCGGGCAGTTATGTCACGTTCAGCGATCAGGAATCCTTCTTATAAAAGCAAACAAAAGTAATCTTAGTTGAATATTCAGCAAATGCTTGTCATATGGCTTAAAATCTACTGCCCCTGCTGAATATGAGGAACAGGGCGGTTGCACAAAAAAATGGAATCACCTCAGCAAACATTTATGGACATCCTGAGCACTACTGAGGTATCTGGTGTCAGACACTTTCTCTTTCCTTAAAGGAGATTCAAGGTTGCCCATCTTCTGACAAGCACTATTCATTAAGACATACACCAGACATGCTGGACTCAGAACGAGTTGACAGCAATCATAGATAAAGGTGTAAGCAAACAATAAAATGCAGCCATATTTACATTTCTTTAATAATGACAGCCCCAAGACTCTCCTAAGACTATTTTAAATGGAAAATGACTCTTTGGTCACCAGAACCTGATTTTCTCACTTGCTACCTCATCTCTTCTTTCTCCTCCATACCTCTCAGGCTGAGGCAGCAAAAAACAACAAAACATGCAATTTGATGTCTTGTCTACTCCAGCTGGATTCTTAGTTCCCTTCCTGGCATCCCTGCTGAGCTCCAGTCACCACCATGAATGCAACTGTTGGGCAGGGTGCTCTTACAAACGCCATCAGCACCAAAGACAAAAATTTCTCCTTCAGTGTTTACTATTTTAGGGCCAAAACCAGCCAAACAGTAAACAACAGCAGTTAGCATGAAGAGCGCAGGCATTAGCAGTTGCTGCAGAAAAAATGCCCAAGAACAGAGAAAATACAATGGTAAGAAAAATCCCACTTTATTTTAAAAGTTAGGATCAAAGATGGCAGGGAAAGGATACCACACGGATGAATCTAGGACCAGAGACTGACGTGTATCACAGCTACAGCTGAGATGACTTACGGAAGTATTTTTAAAGCATTTATTACTTTTTTTCTCCCCTTTTAATCTTTATGTAGTTACTTAATACTAGCTTGCATCACTTCAAAAATACGCTCCCTGAACTCTGCTTCAAGCTGCCCATCTCTCTGGACTCAAGCTCCAGATGGAATTGACTAACTGGACTGATGGGCTCTGGTGTCAACAAACACTGTAAACTGACGAGTGCCTGGTCGTGGACCACTTCACCCTTCACCAGCAGCTATTTAACGGCAGGTCATGGGTACTAAAGGATTAGACAGTGTCAGAATCAAAGAGACAACTCGGAGGGAACAGTTTTGGAGCTCAGTTTCCAGTGATTATAAAACCACCAGTCTTGAAGTCTTTGATCCTAGGTGGCAAAGCTGGACAGAAAGAAAGGGAGCAAGCAGAAGACTGCAGAACCATGAAGAAAAAAATAATCAGATAAGCAAAAAAGAAGCCTTAGCAAAAAAAGAGAAAAGCAGCCTTCAAAGTGAATCATCTGAGTCCCTACTTTAAATATTTGCTGAATGCTGAAGCAGACCACCGCTGCAGAGGGATCACTTCTGTCAGTTCCAAGCTGACATACAACTGGAGGTTACTTTCCACAGCCCTACAGCTCTCAGGACTTTGCCACTACTGAGAATTTCTGCTGTAGCAGTTTGGCTGTACACGCTGACTGAGCTATTTACATGCTCCCCATCCCTGCTCTAGAGCAGGAGGAGTCAAAACCCTGGCCGACCACAGACCTTTCTCCCAGGCAGCTCACCACAAACAGCAGGGTTTCTCTCTGAAAGCTGTCAACACACGAACCTTGGAGGAGTGAATCCCTCTGCGTTTCAGAGGTGGTACCAGCCTCTGACAAATGTCCAATAGCCACTACCCATGGAAACATCTAAGCAAGTAGACAAGAGAGAAGGAAGAGTTCCCTTCTGACCATGCCAACGTTTCCTAGCTCGGCTTGCCACTGACACACCGCTGATTTGCCATGGAGCTCCGCAGAGAGCAGATAGCCTTTATGCAATTAACAGGCTAGTCTGGAGTAAGGAAAGAGCTTCTTCCTTTCCCATGATGACAGTCATGTCTCTGTGAAAGGAGGGGACAGACCTTCTCAATAGAGGAGACATTCCTTCAGGGATTTCATCTGTCACTGGAAGAAGCATGTCTTTGGGCAATGGCTTGAACGTGGAAACCGAAACAGGAGGAACGCCTGTGTATGTGGGTGTGTGGGGTTACAGTATGCAACATCCGCAGCTTTACTAAGACAAGAGACAAAGGGTATCTTATTTGGACCTCCAGCAGGGGCTTTGCAAACACACCATGCTGTTCCTAGGGCCTTGGCTTTAGTATGGTGATGGCATATGGATATGTTGTAGCTGGGTCCCACAATTTATGTTCTTTACCTTAGCTATTTGTAAATAGCTACTTATTTTCTCTTCCAGCCACTCAGCTCTGCATTCCTCCTGTGGTTGTACCAGGCTGTGGAGGTTACGGGACTCAACCTAGAGCGGAGTGCCATACTTTCCGCTTCTTGTGCTCCTTGGGATCCTGCCGTCTGCTCAGGAAGGGCTGTCAGTAGCTAAGCACGCTCCACACGGTCACGCCAGGCACAACAGCACAAACCTGCAATTCAGAAGACGACGTTCACATCTTCCTCTCCCCAGCTGTTATATGGGATAGATAACGCTTGCAGTAAAATCAAAAGGTGAAGCCATTTTTGCCACAGAGAAGAGTTAATTATGCAGCTTACACATTTCTCTGGGGTGTGACGAAAGCCCTTCCCCTGTACCGTAAGCTTTGTTCAGGCACTACAGCACTTGTCAGTGACTGCCCTCCTGCCGAGCTCCGTGCCCAGCTAGGGATGCCTGGGGGCACTGGGAGACAGACACAGGAGGTGGCACGGGATGGTGCCTGTGGAGTGCCCTGCCAGAGCACCCAAAGGCAGGGGGGTGTGCAGAAGGGGGCCAGTACTGCGCAGGTTTCGGGAACAAGGATCTTGCACTGAGCAGGGGCAGGGGCGCAGAGCTGCCTGTCCGCAACGGCGATCAGAGGCACCGGGAGGAGACTGGGCAAAGAGACGCGTTTGCTCGGTGGCAGGTGAGAAGGGAGGGAAGGGGGGAAACTTGAGTTACAGGTCAGGCCTCCAAGCAGTCAAGGACGGCAACTACAGCGGAGCGGGATCTGCCAGAGGGGCACGCTGACCCTCCCCTTCTCCGAGCTACAGTTTTGCTTCTTCTCCGGGGAGCTCCTCCTTCCACCGGG